ACCGAACCCTGGGGGACGCCTTGGGACAAAGGAGCTGTGGAGGAGGAGCAGTTATTGATGTTGATAAACTGTTATCTGTCGGTGAGGTAGGATTTCAACCAGGAAAGAGGAGTGCCAGTGATGTTGAGTGCATATAATATGCACATGGTCTGTAGATGGATGGAAAATGTATAAATATGGTGTCTCAACTACCGCTGAATCCCTGTGCAGAGTCTCAGTGAAAAGTAGGCAGCATTTAAGTTGTACCTGCTGTACAAATAGGAAGATATTACAGACTTTTATGGTATATTTTAATATAATTTTTGCTGAGTTTCACACAGAAAGAGCTCATAAAGTGTTGCTGTTTAATTGTGTATCGTTTCGTTGTTTCAAACACTGCTTCGTCCTTTCTCCGTTCCCTCCACCCCGTCTGCTCTCATGCAGAGATCAGCTGGTGGCTGTGTGTGACAACAATCAGTAGCTTCACTAGGTAACGTTACAGCCTGCTGTAGTCTGTTGCTGTAAACTGAGCCAAACTATGATAGCGAGTAGGCCTGCGTGACATGACTAAAAGTGTTATCACGATAAAAAATGTCATATCAGTCGATATCGATAATTGTCATTCATTATTTCTTTCAAATTTAAAGGCTGATTTTGGCTCCTGAGTTAAAGTTGAAAAAACAAGGTGGTTAATTATGGTTTGAATATTCAGAACATGAAAATATAATTAAATATTTCACCATTATAAGCACAGTGCACGTAGCGCTCAAGGAACATTAGCGCTCCCCACTTCCCAGTGGTTGGTGGTGTAATCACACGATTAAATCTATCAAACTTTTATTGAACATTTTTCATATTTATTGACAAAAATTATATCGCAATAATTATCATTTAGTTTTATCGCCCAGGCCCAGTCCGGACTGAACTGTAATCTATGTCTGCATCTCATAATCTAGTCTCAAAATTTAACCTGGGCATATTCACATTCAGAGTCCTTTTTCACATTTCTAGGCTTCACTTCGTCATATAGATTTAACATCTCTACTGCATTGCTCACAAAATTCAATGCTCCCTCTAAGCGCTTCTCCTCCAGATAGGAGCAACCTGACTGATTTGTGTCGCCAAGCTTCCTCCCTCCTTCTCGCCTTTGCTCCTCCAAGTCACACTAGTGTAAATCACATCTTTGCTTTCCTCGTTTTTCTTCTCTGAACTTGTACTGGCATCTTCTGTGTTGTTTGGCTTGAGCTTGGTAAGTTGGTGCTGGTTGGCTCAGAGGTAGTTGCAGGTTGGGTGACACCTGGTTTCTTCAGCTCAGTGGTGTTAGCATAAATGCCCTCATTTTTTGTTGGGTTCCTACAAATCAAAAGGAAATTCGGTTGTAAGGTTATTCTGCTTATTTAAGTGACACTAAGTAGAAAACTGCTGGATTCCAGGATAAAGTACCTCATCTCCTTTTCCACTTGGTAGATGTTGGCTCATAGCAACTGTGCTAGCGTTACCTGACCCCTGACTCTTAAGCAGGTTGTGTTGAGTCCTCTGAGCCCTGAAAAAACCAGCAGAGTATAAACCTACAAGAATATACTGACAATATCTTTCTTTTTCCTAGTCTAAAGTTGAGAAAAAACTCAGGGAACAGTCCATATTTAGTTATTTTAACACTGGTAACAGATCACAGGATCACAGCGTCTGCAGTCGATGTCAACATGTTGTGCCGATGTGTGCAGTGTAGCAGATAGCATTAGCAGCTAGTTAGCAGTACTAGCACTGCCAGCCTTTGGTCCTCCTTGCAGGTTTACTTCCACATGTCTGTGCTTTTTACGCATTGCTCTGGTCAAGATACACCACTTTAACACGAGACAGCCTACATACAACTTTACTCCATTTTCTAGATCAAAATACAGTCAAACCTCTTTGTGCTATGACATGCCACTTGTCTACTATGCTGGTTTACATCTAGGTAGTAGAGCATTAGTGCCTGTCTATAGCTTTGGCTGGTGGCGGGCAGCATTTCAGCATCAACATTCTTATGTGTGCATGTGCAAAGGTCACAGTACAGGACATACTCTGTCAAGAAGGGGAAATATTCATGATTACTTCATGCCATAACTTTTTTGTTGCAACATACTGGAGCAAAACTCGCAGGTTTTCCACTCAGACTTCGCTACAGCCGCCTGCAAACATGGGGCTTATTGAGAAGCTGCAAACTGTATCACAGCACACCAATCAGTAAAGAACAGTAAAACACCACATAATGAACCACCTGTGGGCATCCTCTCTTCAGAGTAAGGTTATCAACATTTTTTTTCAAATTTGATACTTTCGACCTGTTTTAAAACAATACTCTTCCAAATCTCCTTTATTCTAATGATCGATAGTACCCAAAAGTACACAAAGCTTTAAATAACTACATATCTTCAGTCATATTTAATCCCAAAGTTGCTTTGAGCAAAAAAGAGAGTAAGAGATCAGCGGTACATCTGAAATTCACAGATCAGCAAATACTGATGTTTCTCCAGTCCTTTAGGTGTCTCATAAAGCTGCATATTCATGTTTTTTGTCCAGACGCAGAGCAGAGGACACTATAAATAACACAAATATTGGCAACATTTTCGATCCACAACATTTGATTGAAATTGTGGCCTCATTGAAAAATAATTACCTGGATAAGACTTGCTCATAATACCAAAAACATTAAACATTTCAAAGATTTTAAATTGAAGACCAGAGGAACACCACATAGAATCTGTATCTTCACTCAAATAAAGAATATAAAAGTCCAAGTTGGAGGTTTTTAAACATTTTGCATAGTGGTATTCTGTACGTTTGGCTTGATTTGCTGTTACCCTACCTGATAACAAAGAGTAGAGCACATACTAGCACCAGGAAGACGACAATGGTGGCGATGAAGACTAGCAAAATCACTGAAAAATACAAAGGACAATAAGGGATTATGGTTCAAGCTCTTATTCAGAAGATTATTATTTGAATAAATTCGGACATCACTTATTAATTATTCATTTTGTAAATTGTTAAATCAGGACATATTAAAGCTTTCAAGAGGAATTTATGTTCACCACTTACCCATTCATAAAGCTTTCTTGTTAATACTTAGTAATTATGAGAACAAATGTGAAATGTGCCGCTTACCAATAAGTTATACTCAGTTCAGAGACAAACCTTGACTTTCTGCAGATGTTGGAAGGCTGTAGAAAATAAATCGCTGAGCAACAGATCCCAGAGAGTTTGAGCTGCGACAAAGCACAGTGAAGTGATCCTTCCTTTGGGCTTGACTCATGGTGATGAAGCTCACGCCTGTACCATTTCGATGCTCATAACTGATTGCAAACTCTTCTGAACGATTGACAGTGTTCATCCAAACTCCATTGTAAAGTGGGAGGAGGATTTCCCGTAGACTCACAGGAACAGTTGACCTGGTTAGCAGTTTTGGTGCAATCAGATGAGGACATGATCTGTGGAGCATCTGTAATGGATGTAGGGAAGAGAGACAAGTAGAGAGTCAAGTAAAGCCATGCTGTATCAAATTTGCAAAAGTAAAAGAGAAGGCTTATGGCTAAAAAAAAAAAAAAAGTTGACCAGCTGTGCGTGTGAAGTGAATGAGGCAAAGAAAAATTCAGTTCCTCCATGTCAATTGTTTTCATTCTGGGCCTGTGTCCACAGAGGGCGCTTTTAACGCTGGCAGCGCCTATTTTCAATACAAAACCAATGTAGTTCAGTGTTTTCAGCTCTCATCATACGTTTCTTGAGGCCGCATTCACTCAGCTCTCAGTTGAAAACAATTCCACTTATGGAACAGCACTACGCTCTTCTATGTCACATCTCCATCCAACCTATGGCGTTTTATCCCAGCCAATAAAATTGTGCGCGCACAGGAGATCTGTGCAACTCAAACAGCCACACGCATATTATTTTTGCAGCTTGCACAGCATTCTCGCAGAATTCATCTGCTCGCACGAGCAATATTGTATCCTGCAAGGAGAAAACCATGCTTTGAGCACGAGCAAAATCTCACCCTGAGCGTAACTACAGTGCTCTCTCTGCTCGCTCGCCTTTTCTTTTGCGCTCAAAGCATGGTTTTGTCCTCTCAGGATACAATATTCGCGCAAGCAATTTCATTTGAATGATTGTAATTTTACTTGATATGCACATTCTTACTAAGCAGACCTTTTTGGGGGTAAAGTTAACATTTGCTCGTCTCTAATTTAATTATAGAACCTCATATATAACACAGTGTTTCCCCTACCATTCAGGTCGTTCAGGGTGGATTACCCAAAGTGATCTCCCACCACCCTAAAAGAAAGGCACTAAATACTTTATCTATGTAAATTATCCATCCATCCATTATCTATAACTCTTTTCTCCCTTTATTTACAACAAAGTTAATCCTCTACAAAAGAAAGATTTTATGGATTGAAGTTTCCAATCAAAGCAAATTAAAGATAAACAAAGAGACTTTCATACATTTTGAAAAATGTAACTGATGAATGACACCTACAATGTACATCTATTTGTCTTGTGTTTGATTGAAAACTTCCCAGTTTATTTTCAGCCTTGCAGAAAAACGGGCCTCTCTTCTCGAAGCTTATTAACAAAGATTATTTACATTCCTCATTTGTAAAACGCTGCACAAAAGAAGCCTGACCTACCTGCATTTATGCAAATGTTTCAAACGATACCTACACTGAACATCCATCTGTGTGTTGTTCGATCTTCCACTTCCCTCTTCATTTGCTGCCGGCAGAAAAAGGTCCTCTCTCCCTAGAAGCTTTGATGTTTAAAACACGTCCAGTCCCCATGAAAGTCTCCTGGCCTCCATCAGCTCTGTACCAGGTGTAGTTCTTTACAGCTGGGTTTGCATTAGCACTGCAAGTCAGTGTCACATTTGTGTCTTCTTGCACTGGACCAGAGGGACTGACTGACACTGTGGTCCCTTTGGGTGAATCTGAAAAGAGAAAAATAAAGTTGTATTTTTTGAATATGTAGTTTATTTGTGATGAGGGATAGAGAATGTTATGCCTTTATCCTGAACAAGCCCTGCTAAACATCAATAGAAACAGCTAGTAGGACCAGTGTTGGTCTGTAACGTATCACTAGTAACGCGTTACAGTAATGATATTACTTTTACAAGTAACAAGTGTAACGAATTACTAATGAAATTCCAGTAATAATATTACAGTTACCCACACAAAAAATAACTTGTTACTACATTACTGTTGTTGTTATTACCCCACTTCAGATTATGCAACAAACCCCAGATTAATTTTGTTGCGCATCTCAGACAAGCAGGAAGGTAGAGCTTCATGGTTGCCAGATATGCGGATTTGGGCTTTTTTTTAGGTGCCCCAGAGGGTATTTTTTTTGGCCATTGGGCTTGTTTTGTCATTTGTTGTCACACATACCTGGCAACCCTGGCTAGCTTGAAAGATGGAAGTTTACATTCAGTGGCTGAAATTCCCATTACTTAAGTTTTGTCGACAGAAAGATAACAAGAACATCATTGTCAATGTAAATTGTGTCCCAGTACCAGGACTCTTTATACTGCAAAAAACAGACTTCAAAACTCCTTAAGCACTTACAACATCTGACGACAGCACAACAACATGAAGCTCGTGTAAATAAACCCCATCAATGAGCTGTGGAGGACAGCTGTAGCCCTACAATGTCTACAAATCAACCAAGACTGGATTTTAATCGAGCACAGCTAAAAGCGAAAAAGAACTAATGAAAGTTGTGGCTTATTACGAAAAGTAATATAACAAGTAGTGTAACATATTACTGATGGCAGGGAGTAATAAGTAAAGTAATTAAAGTACTTAAAGAGTAATGAGTAATATATTCCTTTTTTTAATAACGAGCCCAACACTGAGTAGGACTATAACAGTATGTGTACTCATGCAGAGCCATCACGGTTTGGTCTTCACCGTTCAGTGCATTCATTTTTATGAATTTTTATCAATAAAATGTAAAGTTATAAAGACAATGCACATTCATAACATTTCTGTAATGCACAAGTTTAGCCATCATAGACAGCAGCAATATGTAAAACAGACTAAAGTGGGACAAGAAAATTGTAAATCTAGAAGCATATGAAACACTTAAAAGAGAGATGTGCATTAAAACAGGACAGTAATACTGTTCTCCTGGTAAAACAAACAAGATACCTAAAAGCAGGACATCAAAGCAGGAGACGTAGGCCTACATGAGACAGCATACCAATTAGAGGTGGGGGAAAATAGATACAGCATAGAATCACAATATTCTGCTAGCGATATGTTTTTATTTTAATTGCTGGGGTTGCACAATTCATTTTGAGCAAGTTGCATTGTTAAAAATGGCTGCAGTTGTTCAGTCATCCGTACATGTTTGTGTTCAGTAAAGTTTGATCAGACTGAAACACCATCAAGTTCAGATTGTGAGGTGCATGCAGCCTTTTTCTTTCATCACAGTGTTGGTCAGTCTGTGGGCTCGACTCCCATTGTGTAGAAATGAACAGACAGAAGTGAGACAAAAAGACTGAGAATTTTTCCTTATTTGACAAAACAGTTCTTGATTTAGTTTAATTTTGTGTACATAATATGCAGTTAAAAATATGAAATTCAATATATCATATCACAATTCTCAGCTTGTCGTAAAATGTTTAAAATCGCAATAATATCGTATCGTGACTCAAGCATCGTTATAATATCGTATCAAAGGGCCTCTGGTGATTCCCACCTCTCATTACAGTGTAGACCTACAGTACAGTGTTGCTTCCTCAGCGGATAAACAGTTGGTGGAAATATGTAAATATGAACTTTACTATGTTTGTCACCATCTTAATTTGTTTTTGAAATGGGAGATTAAAGTCCAGTGTTACATTCATTTATAATCAGATACAACTGTGACCTTTAACCCTGTGATGAAAACACTGAGTGTGAAATGATCTGTTGACCTCTTTGTGAAAAACATGCAGATTGTTTTCTTTATGTTTAAGTATTGACAGGAGTTATTAAACCACTGTGTGACATTAGTCATCACTGCTGTTAGTTACGTGCAGCTTGCTGGTTTGTTGTTGCATGTTCAAAAATGATAGTATCATCAGCGTACATTAGGATGTCTGACCTAATAGCATTCATTTATTAGATCATTTATGTAGAGCTAAACAACAAACCCTGTTCATACAATGAATACATCTACAATCAAACATCTGAGTGGAGAGAAAAAAAAGGTAATCACACATGGCAGTAGCACACCCCAGGTGACGGCCATGCTCGTAACTGTTTGCTAAATGATTACAAAACAACAAACAAAGAGAAGAAGCATATATTTTATGTAATCAATTTATCACAAGACACACATACTCACATGTAATGTCAGCTGTTAAACTGGTGTTCACAGATGTAATGTCAGCTGTTAAACTGTGTTCACAGATGACTCAGTGCTGCCATCTTTTCTGTAGACAGCAGTACAGGAGATTTCCTGTCCGTGATGAGGTGTGATGCGTTGAAGTTCAGCACAGAGATCTTGACTTAGTTTTGTCCTGATTCTCCTGCAGGGTCTCCTGACCTTCACCCAGGCCGGGGCTCCATGTCAGATTTGGAGGAAGAGACAGACAGGGAGCTGAGCAGAGCAGTTCAAACTCACTAGGTTCCTCTTTCACCTTCAGTGTGGGCGGAGTCAGAGTCGGTCTGGGTGGATCATCTGTTCAGAAATACATAAACATGTATAAGCAGTCATTTCTCTCTACTATCAAAGGTTTGATTTATCTTTATTTTAAAGTAATCAATAATAAGTCAGAGAATACTACTTTGACTGAAATTTTCACGCCAGCAAAAAAGTATTTCAGATCATTGTCACATTGCAATCTAAAATTATGCCACTTTGTTGTTTTGAGTTGCATGTCATTCAGGGTTGTGGTGCAGTCTTTTTTGTTAGTCACGATCAATTGTCCCTTTTTTTGTGTTGGATTACTG